ACATAAAATATTGTAGCACTGATCCCACCACCAGTGTCAACTTCCCTCCACCAATGTTTTCAGGTACCCTCCCATGTTCTCCTGCTACATGCCTTATTTAAAATAAAATTATCAAGGGTGACTATAGTCTAGGCCAAGACTTAAATATTGCCAACACCCAAAAGCCACCGTTTGTCCTGATCGTAAAGGTTTACTCTCTGAGCTCACCACTAAGTAGCTTGACTCTCGCTGTTTGGTGACATGGCTCATAATATGACAATCAAATCAACATGTTGAAAAGAGAAAAGAATGGTAAAATACAGAGAAGTCAATTAGAATATAAGAATTACGAGATCAAAATCTAGGTGAAGGAAGGATCCAGAGTAAATACAGCAATGTTTATATTAACAGAGGAATGGGGTTTTATAATGGTAAGTGTGTAAGTCTCTTTCTTTGCATACACTGACCCAGGTTTAATTCCTGATACTACACGTGGTTCCCCAGACACTTCCAGGAGTCATTCCTGAGCACCTGAGTAAGCCCTGAAAACAGCCCAGCTATGGCCTTCTTGTCCTCCCCAATCCCCCCAAACAAACAAACAAAAAAAAAAACTGAAAAAAGCACTAAATGCTGTTTTTAAGAATATATTAATGTTCTCTGTGCTATCGCTGGTAGGCCGTTTGCCTTGTAAGCAGTCAACATGGCTGACCCGAGTTCGATTCCTCCGCCCCTCTCGGAGAACTGGGCAAGCTACTGAGAGTATCTCGCTGGCTCGGCAAAGCCTGGCAAGCTCCTTGGAACATATTCAATATGCCAAACACAGTAGAAAATCTCACAATGTTACTGGGCCCACTCGAGCAAAATCGATGAACAACGGGAGGACAGTGATTAATGTCCTCATATCTTATTTGATTTGATTTGGCCACATGCAGCGATACTCAGAGGTTACTCCTGGCTCTGCACTCAAGAATCACTTTGGGGGGCTGGAGTGATAGCACAGCAGGTAGGGCATTTGCCTTGCATGCAGCCCACCCAGGTTCGATTCCCAGCATCCCATATGGTCCCCTGAGCACCGCCAGGAGTGATTCCTGAGTGAAGAGCCAGGAGTAACCCCTGTGCATCACCGGGTGTCACCCAAAAAGCAAAAAAAAAAAAATCACTTTGGCAGGCTTGAGGGACTATATGGTTTGGGGATCCAACCCCAGTTGACCATATGCAAGTCAAGCATCCTTTACTATCCCACTATACTATCTTTCTGGTCCCATAATATCCTCTTTCTAATTAGTAGTGTAAACTAATTAGAATTAAAAAAATTATAGAGTCTTAGAAACAAATCTTTTTTTCTCTTTTGTCACACCCATTGATACTCAGGGGTTAGTTTTGGATTTACACTCAGGAATTACCCTCTGGAAATGCTCAGGGGACTATACGGGATGTCAGGGATGGTGTGGGTGGGTCACATGCATGGCAAGTGTCCTATCTGCTGTACTATTGCTCCAGCCCAGGAACAAAAACTGTTTTTTTAAATTTTTGGGTCATACCCAGCAATGCTCAGGGATTACTCCTGGTTCTGTACTCAGGAATTACTCCTGGGGTGTTCAGGGAACCATATGGGATGCCAGGGATTGGACCAGGTCAGCTGCATGTAAGGCAAAAGCCCTACCCACTGTTCTATTGCTCTGGCCCTGGAACAAAACCTTTGAAGGAAATTTTTATGACATACTAGCCACATCAAGAACCTAGCTGAGGGCTGGAGCGATAGCACAGCGGGTAGGGTGTTTGCCTTGCATGCAGCCGACCCAGGTTTGATTCCCAGCATCCCATATGGTCCTCTGAGCACCGCCAAGAGTAATTCCTGAGTGCATGAGCCAGGAGTAGCCCCTGTGCAATGCCAGGTGTGACCCAAAAAGCAAAAAAAAAAAAAAAGAACCTAACTGAACACATGTGATTTTAAATGGGCTTCTAAAATTCTTATTTCTTCTCCCTCTCCTCTCCCTTCCCTGTTCTTACTCAACCCCTCCCTTTCTCTTCCTTCCATATCTTGAAAACTTCATCAATATAACCTTCATACATGGTTCATTTATTATTAAGTACCTCTGGCTTTATTGCTTTATTGTTTATTTGAGCATGTTGCTTGAATCATAAGGTAAAAAAAGAATCACATTTAAAATCAGAAGATGTATTTTCCTTCCAGTTTTGTCAATAATTTGCTGTGTAACCTTGGCAAGTTACATAACTTTCATTTTCCTGCTGGGTTAACAATTATCAAGATAGAACTATAACCTTAGAATTGCCAGGGACTTCAGAATTACACAGTACAGTTCTTTCATTTCATAAAGAGGTAGAGTGGCTTACTCAACAACCTTCAAAAACAAGCAAGCAGTCACTGGCATCTCAGAGCAGTGCTCTTTTTATTACATCAGACTTCAATGTTGTTCCAAGAAACAACCAAGGAGAAAGCATTAAAGAAATGAGACCATTTACAAAAAGCAAGATTGCGTCACAGCCTGAAGGCTTATCTGAAAATGTATGGTCTCACTTAAAGGTGACTGAAAATTCAAAACTTTTGAAAGCTATGTAAAGAGAGGTCAGGAGAATAATAAATATTCATAGAAAGGTCAAAAGCGTAATAAATATTAACAGTTGGACTGGAGAAAGTCTTGGAAAACAAAACAAATATGAATATTTATATTCTCTTATCTGTTCTTTCTGTTCCTAGTTTATGCAAGGTGAAACTGGGGACGTGGAGCCGGCCTTTTACACAGTTTTTGGGGAAGGAGTGTACAATCAAGGTGACTTGAAATCTAATTATTTGCCTTGTGGGTACTACACATTACATCAGTTCCCTAACTTAGCGCCATTCCTTCTCAGGCCACTACCTTCAACAACGCGTTGAAACCTGCCGAAAGCCCAAGTCAAAGGGAAAACTCCAAGTCCCGAAGTGCTCTCTGGCCGGTCCCCGCCGCCTCCTCTCCGAGGCCGCGCCTCTACGACTGGGAGTTGTATTCGCTCAGCGCCTCGGCGCCCAGAAGCGTGGAGGCGGCTCGGGGGCGGCGCGGGACTACATTTCCCAGGACGCCCCGCGCGCCCGGCCCCGGCCGGCGTCGGGCCCCGCCTCCCACGCCCCTCCCTCCCCGGGGCTGCACCGCTCACGCCTTCCTGTTAGTGGGAGCTGGGAGAAGTTCACTCTGATCAGCTGATCCCAACTGACAACAGGAAAGGAGGAAGCCGGGGAGGTAACGCAGGAGGCGGGGGGCGGGGATGGAACTGAGGATGGAAGCGCCGGTGCCCCGAGCAGCAGCAGCAGCCTCTGCCTCCTAGCAGCGCCCCGCGGTCCCCCGACGCCGCCGGGCTCGGCCGAGCCGCTGCTCGGTGGGGTCCCCGGGCGGCCGCGGGCGGGCAGGGAAGGGCACGGCCCTGCGCCGCGGGCCACACTCCGGAGCTCCTTCTGCTCCCGGGAGGAAGGGGGGGCCGGGTGCGGCTGCGGTGGGGGTGGGGTGGGATAAACAATGGATTCGGCTCCGGCCTCTGCCATCGTGGGGGGTTTGGGGGGACCTTCTTTGTTCCGAGGCTGGCTCCTGTCCCCTTCGGGTTGTGGTGGTGTTGCCCGGGAGGAAGAAGGGTGAGGGATCCCGGGCTGGAGAGAGGCGGCAGGATGGGGGTGGCCCTCCCCTCGAGTGGGCAGCATTGCTTCCTTGGCCTGGCGGGCGGTGAGGGTTTTTTGTTTTTTTGGGTTTTTTGTTTTTTTTTTTTGCAAGATTGATTTTCTGGTTCCCCCCCACCCTCCCAAAACGCGACAGATTTTTTGATATTTCCGTCTTGGGGGCAGGTTGGGCACGTCCGAAGTTAGGGTATAAAGTCTCCTTAGTCACTCTCCTGGCCTTGTTTATCTAAAAATAAGATTGATTACTCCTAGGGAAGGAGGGAATATCTTGGAAGTCTGCATTTTGTTAGATCTTAGAATAGGGGTCAGGACTACGGGGAGTTGGGGAGAGAATGGTAGAGGTGGTAAGGGCCTTTTTCCAGCTTCAGTTAGCCCTGTTTTTCTTTTTTCCTTTTAGAAGTTATTTTGAAGCTTTTTTTTTTTCAATGTGACAGTGAGAAAAAGGATTTATCTCCCCACGGGCCTGACTTTGTGATGAGCCACGATGGGAGAATTCTGTCTCCTGTTGCTCCCTTGTGTTGCAGTTAGAGAAGGGACAGGAGTGCAGTAATTGTTTTTAAAAACCAAGTGGAGTGGTGAGTTGTTTCCAGTTTTAGTAAATGGGTATCTCTCTACAGTTAAAACAGTCCAGTTACAAGAGTAGCTGGATCTTCCCAGGACTTTGATGGAATTAATTTTTGAGTTGTTACTATTAGTTATTATTATTATTGTTTTTCTGCAGGCCTTTTTCTCTACTCTCTGTTGGGGTAGGGTACAGGTATTGTCACTCTTAAGGACTATTTGCTTAATGATTTTGAGTCTATATTTTGTATGAACTAAGCAAAAGGTTTGTCTGGGAAGTAAAGCAACAAAATATCTTTTAATGCTCAGGATCTAGAGGTGGTGTTAGTTTCCAGAAGGAGGAGCCTTAGCTGTGAATTTTGAGAAGTTTCTAGTGCTAGACTGTGCCCCTGGAAGTTTTGCAAGCAAGAGTGAATTTTGTCTCAGGAGTGCTGATCTCATATCTAATCTCAAAAGTTTTGGTAAAAAGTGCGCTTCTGTTTTTTGATGAGTAAAACGCTTTTCCTTCCTTCTAGGTGTCGCCTGCAGTCTTAAGTTGAAATCGCACCGTTCCTGATCACTCTTCCTTACCAAAGCCTGTGGCTCGCATCCCACAAAGGAGCCCAGTTCAGTGAACCCAGCAGACCTGTCTGATAGCCATAAGAAACCCTCTCAAGACACTTTTGCCTGCATTATTGCCTGCACTTTATGGAAGATGAACCCATCAAGCCAAATCCACGGTACTGCAAATCTAAGTCTCTTGGAGGCAGAGCAGTAAAAATACCGTTTGTGATTGTGTGATTTCTAAACTGAACCCTCACCCCCACCCCCCGAATACTGTTTCCTTTCCTTTGAAAGTGTTCAGAACCCGGTGGAAGTTTTGTGCTGTCTTCAGACTCAAGGCCTCTGTCGTCACGCTGGGGGAACGCAGAGCAACTGTTGTATGGTGGGTGAGTCCCTCGCCAGTCTGAGTATGAGTGCCCACACTTCCCCAGCAGAGAAGGGCCTCAACCCGGGGCTGATGTGCCAGGAGAGCTATGCCTGCAGCGGCACGAACCAGGCCATCTTTGAGTGTGACGAGTGCTGCAGCCTGCAGTGTCTCCCCTGCGAGGAGGAACTCCATCGGCAGGAGCGACTGAGGAACCACGAGCGGATACGGCTCAAACCGGGCCACGTCCCATACTGTGACCCCTGCAAGGGCCCCAACGGGCACTCACCGAGTGTCAGGCAGAGGGCGGCGGTGAGGTGCCAGACCTGTAAAATCAACCTGTGCCTGGAGTGCCAGAAGAGGACTCACTCTGGGGGCAATAAGAGGAGACACCCCATTACTGCCTACCAAGTCAGTAAGGCCCAGGAGCTACTGGACGAAGAGGAGATGGATGAGGAGACCAAGAGGAGGAAGATGACTGAGAAGGTTGTGAGTTTCCTCCTGGTCGATGAAAACGAAGAGATTCAGGTAAGCCTGTGGGTATTGTGGGACCGGAAGGAGGTAGCTCACAAGTAAAGGCAACGAGGAGCTGACTTTGAATCATTAGAAAACAAGGCGACCTTATCCCCACCCCCACCCGTTACCCCCAAACTTCAGTTGTATGGAGTCCAGAGTATTGCGCACCCGTCTTCCCCGTGATGTTGGCCTGAATTCTTTAACGGCTCCAAACCTCAGCTTTCTCATCTGAAATGTGGGTACAGATCTCGACAGCACTTTGGTTGTTGTGAGGATGAGGTGACACGGTATTTGTAAGGCCTGTTGAGTGTACTCTGGATGGTATCTGTGTTGTGTTAGGATTCTTATTAGGAAGAAGTTTAGAGGCGTTTTCTTGGAGCAGTTTGGTCAGTTGGGTATGAATGTGTGTGATGAGGAATTGTGTGTGTGTGTGTGTGTGTGTGTGTGTGTGTATCCATGTTTGTATCTATGTCTGTGTCTGTATCCATGGCCACGTGTGCTGACATACCAAGTCATACACGAGCCTGCTATCTCTGCTTACAGAGGCAGGGCTCTAAAAAGTGGCTTTTGATAAGGACAGTATTCTCTCCAGATGGCTTCTTCTTTTATGCACAGGCTTCTGATCAGGCCAGGCCCATGAGCATCTGGAATTAAGGACTCGAGAATACTTGACTTGAGTCCGAGCTGGGGAGAGGGTAGCGTGTGATAGGACCACATTGGGGAGATAGTAGGATATGAGAAGGGCGAATGGGGAAGGGTATGTGATAGAACGTTTGGACTTTCTTGCTTTTGAGTGAAGACTGCTTGATTAACATCCTGACTTTCCCCCTCATTGGCAAGTTATTTAAGCTCTGGACTTTCTGCACTTTCCTTTCATGGCAGCAGTTTAGTGAAAGAAGTTAGTAATGAAATGGCTTATCACAGGGTCCAGTGCATGGTGTCCACTTCCAGTCTGTTTTTGTTTGTAGCATGGAGTATTTGGGGTACATTGTTTCAGGACTTCCACCAGCTGCGACTTCTCAAGTCCCTAGATTGGAGAAGTACCCATCTTCAGTTACTCTTTGGAGAAATACCCACTTCATTTACTCTTTGAAGAACTCGCAATTGCCCACTGTCCTGGAAGAGCTGAGGAAGTGAACTGCAGAATGCGTCCTCTGTGCTTCCATTGTTGGCTAACACTTGGTTGCCACAGACTGTATTAGCTGGGAGGAACTGAAGGTGGACAAGTGACCCAGATCCTCATCCTCCTTCCCTTGTTTGGAGCAATGCCTTCTTTACGGGTTATGCTCTAACTGGGTGAGAGAGTGGACTAAAAACTTGAGAAATAGATCACTTGGATTTGGATGATTCTGACTTACTTTTGCCATCAGTTTACTCAAGTGTCAGTCTTTGGAAAGTAGTTATGTTGAGGATTGTTGTTTGGGTTGTAAGGTGCAAGGAAGATTTGAAATGAATTAGTAACCCTCGTGGATACTGTGTTGGTTCTAGAAAGAACCAAGGAGGATACATTGGTATCCTCCTTGGAACCAAGGAGGATACATTGTGTGTGAAAATGTGTGTGTGTGTGTGTGTGTGCTTTTTTTTTATAGCAGTGATACTTGTTCTTTGGTTAAATTAGTAAAATATAAGGGTAATGAAGACAAATTCAGTTACCAAGGGGGCTAGATCTTTAGTACAGTAGGTAGGGTGCTTGTCTTGCGTGTGGTCAACGTGGGTTCCTTCCTGGCATCTCATGGTCCCCTGAGCCCACCAGGAATGATTCCTGATATTAGCCCTGATACCACGATGATATCTGTCCATAAATATTTGTGTCTTGTTTTAATTTGGGGGCTATAGACAGTGACCAGGGGACTTTATGGGGGTGCCAGGTCTTGAACTCGGGTTGCTGCAGACAAGGCGAGCACCTTGCCTTCTGCATTATGCTCCATTTCCCGTAAACTTCTTTTCTTGTGGTATGTAATATGTAATGGGGTTGGTAAAGCTTCCTATTATTTTATTTATTTATTTATTTATTTTTGCTCACACCCGGCAATGCTTAGGGGTTACTCCTGGTTCTGTGCTCAGGAATTACTTTTATTTTTATTTATTTTTGCTTTTTGGGTCACACCTGGCAATGCACAGGGGTTGCTCCTGCCTCTGCGCTCAGGAGTTAACTCCTGGCGGTGCTCAGGGGACCATGTGGGATGCTGGGATTTGAACCCGGGTTGGCCACGTGCAAGGCAAACGCCCTACCTACTGTGCTATCACTCCAGCCCCAGGAATTACTTTTAGTGATGGTCAGGATGTCAGGGACTGAACGCAGGTTGACTGTATGCAAGGCAGATGCCAACCTATTGTAACTCTCTCTTCAACCCATATCTTTTTTTTTAATTTATTTTTTAAGTTTTTGGGCCAGACCAGGTGATTCTCAGAGGTTATTCCTGACTCTGCACTCAGGAATTACTCCTGGTGGTGCTCAGCGGACCATATGGGATGCTGGCAATCGAACGTGAGTCATGCAAGACAAACACCTTACCATTTTTACTATCTCTCCAGCCCCAATATTTTATCTTTTTTACAAACACTGATTACTTCTCAGCATAATGGTTATTATTTTTTGGGGGGTTGGGATGGGCAGGAAGTGGTGGTGCAAGGGATTGACCTGGGTCCATGTACTTCTTGGACAGTGTAACAGTTCCTTTTTCATTTTTGTTTTTCTTAGGTCACACCTGGTAGTTCTGGGGGCTGCTCCTGGTTCTGTGCTAGGGTTTCACTCTGGAGCTGCTCGAAGTCCAGGTGGTGCATGCAAAACATGCACTCAAAGAGCTATCTCTTTGGCTGCATATGTAACAGTTTTAATTTTTTCTTTTTCTTTTTCTTTTTAAAGATGTAAACACTTTATTATTATTATTATTATTTTTTGCTTTTTGGGTCACACCTGGCAATGCGCAGGGGTTACTCCTGGCTCTGCACTCAGGAATCACCCCTGGCAGGGCTCAGGGGACCATATGGGATGCTGGGAATCGAACCCGGGTTGGCCGCATGCAAGGCGAACGCCCTACCCGCTGTGCTATTGCTCCAGCCCCTAATTTTTTATTTTTCAAATTCATTCCTGGTGCTACTCAGGGCTGTTATTTGTTGTTGCTCTTTTTTTTCCCCTAGTTTTGGGGCCATATCTGGTGATGCTTAGGGGTTCCTCTGACTCTGTGCTCAGGAATTACTCCTGGCAATGCTCAGGGGACCATAGAGGTGTCCAGGATCAAACTTGGGTGGGCCGTATGCATGGCAAGTACTTTAGTTGTTGTATTATCACTCTAGCTTTGAATTCATTTTTTTTTTCTTGAGGGTGGAGGGGTTGTGCATGGTGGAGGTCTCTAAGTAGATGCCAGTTTCCTGGGAGCCCTTCTAGGTGATACTGGACTCAGTGCTGCTTGTACCTAGGAGTGCAGGGTGTCATCAGTGTCTGGGGACCATGGGGTGCCTGAAATCAAACCCAAAGCCTCTTCATACCAGGCTTACACTCCAGCCCTTCACACTGTCTCTCTGTCTTAGGCATAGAATTGTTTTAGTTGCTAAATTATTCACAGAGTGGCATTGAGGAAAAATATCTAATGTTTAGCGCAATTAGAAGGATGATTGTCTGAAACAAATCCAAATTATGAATTTGGCTAGATTGTAACTGTCTGGGTCGGGGAACCATGCTTTGTGGGCTGCACATTGTCAGTGTATAAATGCTTGTTGATTAATTGATGAAACAACTCAGTTTCACTTTATCTATTTCTTTCCCTCTTTTTCTTCTTTTTGTTGTTTCTGCAGTGACCAAGGATCACACACTTGATTGTGGTGCTCCTTTGCTTTGGGTTTTGGTTCTGGTCCAGGGTCACACCCTTTCTAGACACTAAGTCATGGCGCTTGCTGGGGATTGCACACTTTACTTGTGCTTGCTCACATTTGGCTGTGCTGTGCTGTGCCAGGAGATGGTACACTTGCTTGTGGTTGTGTGGATTCCCAACACACGGATGGCTGGGCTGTGCTCAGAGGACGTAACTCTCCACCTTTCGAACTTCATTCTTACGAAGCAGGTGCTCTGCCACTTGAGCTAAGCCTGAGCCCCTCAACTTCTTTAAAAAATTGGATACTGGGTGCTGAAAAGATAGTATATAACAGGTAAGGCGCTTGCTTTGCAAGCAGCCAACCTTAGATTCCCAGTATCCCATATGGTAAGTCCAAAAAGTAAGTCCAGAGCATAGAGCCCTCAGCTTTGCTGGGTGTGGCCCCCAAATAAAAACAAACAGATAAAACCCCCGAGGGTCAAAGAGATAGTTCAGCAGATTAGGAGCTTGCCTTGCCCAGTTACTGACCCTATTTGACCCTGGCACTGTATAGGGTTTCCTGAGCATGCCTAGAGTAAGCCCTGATCAAAGCTGGATATGACCCCACCAAAAAATATGTAAAAGGACATACAATTACAAGTTTCTCCTGCTTTTCCCCCCTCATATTCTTAGTCTTCCAATCCTGAATACCCGCCAGGGGTAGCCTAACAAAGCAAACAAGCAGTAAGTGTACATCTTAGTTTGGTGATTTATAAGCAACACAGATTACTTCTCTTGGTCTTAGAGAGCTCGGAAATTTGGGGTCATGGCATGGATGGGTACCTGCTAAGAGCCTGTTTCAAGAGAGCTGCCTTCTCCCGGTCCTCTTCTGGCAGAAGGGTACTTGGGTTTCATTTTGTTTTGGGGCCACGCAAGGCAATGCTCCAGTGCTACTCCTGGCTTTGTACTCAGGAATTTTCCTAGTGGTCTTCAGGCAACCGTATGGGATGCTGGGGATTGAACCTCGGTCTCTTTGCAAGGCAAACGCCCTACCTACTGTATTATCGCCCAAGCTTCTGGGGTTTCTTTCATGAGTTTCTTATAATCCCCTTTATAAGAGCTCTTTGCTAATATTCTTTTTTTTTTTTTTTTTAAGAAAGTTGGAAAGTAGAAGAGAAAGGAAAGGAATTCCCCATGGGGGAGGAACTTAGTATAGGACTA